TGTGAAGAACGTGATTTAAACAAGGTATAGAATTAAAATATTTCGAAAGTATCTAGAGCTGTTGATAAACAAGAATGGCTGCATTTAGGAGGGTACTGATTCCAGCCGTCAGTAAGAGAGTGATTAGATATTCCTTGCTTCCAGCTTCATGTTTAGCATAAGGAGTAAATCAAGACCAGCATCTACTCTGCTCCAACAGAGCTTTATTGAATGTTATATTGGTGCTTTCACATCTGTCAAGGATACTATATAACACAAGAATTTTTCACAGCTCTTTAATAATACTTCAGACTTCCAAGGTCTCTAACTTCTTGCACCAACAGCAGGTCTTGAAGAGGATAGCAAAATTTTCACAGCGCTAGACTCAAGAGACTGCCCTGAAACAATCCAGAATTTGGTATGGTTGCAGTGAAGGAATATTTTTTTGATTAATCAGAAGCTCTCTACTAGCTTTAGTACATGGAGACACTATGAGGTTTAATTTGGTAAAAGACATCACTTTTTATTTGCTTTCTCTACCACATAACAGGATACTGTAATTCGGCAACAGCAGAGAGAAACCAACAGTGGTACTGAGAACAAGCGTTACTGAGAAAGCACATATTAAATATACTAAGCTACAGAGGCTAATGTGGGTACCATAAATGCTAATAAGAAAAACAAAGAAAATAAGGATATAAACAAACCTTTTCATTAAAAAAATGTAATTTTTACAATGCAAGAAATCATAGACTGCTGTAATGTAAACCTTGCCATAGCATTCTTGCTTATGCTCACTCACTAAAATAGTTGAAGACTGAAAAATCAGAGGTCCATGACTCCACTTTTCACTAACATGTATTTTGCTTATTAAACTATCATTATTATCATTATCCCAACATCAATTGGGAAAAAAAGATGTAAGGGACCCCACTCCTTGTCTCTGGAGTCAGCGCTGAGCCCTGAAATGCCAGCAACTTCAATGGATTTGCAGTGACAGGAGGCCTCACGCTTGCAGATGTGTTCACTAGTTTTTGATTTGATCTTTATGCAATTATTTTGATTAAGAAAATGTTCATCTTGTTGACATTATTGCTGCAGTCAATAGCTAATGACCCTGGTAGTTCATTTCCTTATAAATATTTAACTTAATAGAAGTCCCTTGGGTTAGAGTACTTTTGACACTTGTATAATCTGAAACAAATCCTCCCTTTTTTCAGTCAAACAGGCCACGTAACCCACACAGTCGGCTAGCTCTTTACAAAGCACCCAATTAAATCCTACTTAATTCTCCTGCTCTGAAAACCCCCTCTCACCAGTGCACAGGCTACCGATCACACAACATGAGAATCTTTCACCTAGTCTGGACATTATAGCCTGTAGAACTTGACTGTACCAGCCCCTGCTATAAAGAAGAATTTGCCCATGAAGCAGTAGAAAAAAAAAAGTGAAGAGAATACATAAATTCAGAGGATTGAAGAAATAAGCTGAAGAATCACAATTAAAGACAGGTAAATCTAGTTTAATGTTCACATGTAATAGTTACACATCACAGAGATTAAACAGGATTTTAACTGTAACATAGCTGCAGTGAAATGAAAATCATTTTGTACTAGAAAAATAATCTTGACACAGTTATCCGATTTTTGGTCTACTTAAGTTCATTTTAAGATGGATTTATACCACTGATCATGACGACTTTGCCCATGTGCTTTTCTGCAGTCCCCTATTAATACTCTTTGGATGAAGGAGATAGTAACCGTTTTTCTTAATGGTTTGCCCTTTGGTTGCAAGCAGAGAACTGTTTTCACTTTTTAAGCAATTAATAGGCTATAGGAATGCAAGTTTGCAATAAAACCTTTTGGTGTTGAATGAAGTTCAGAACAAATTTCTTGATTTGATGCAACAGCAGATTTTAAAAAAAGCTGATTTAAAGATCTAAAGCATTGCCCCATAATGCAAAAAGTAGATAGAATCTGTTTTTCTATTCTCAGTAAAAAAGCACATCTTAATGCTACTCTTATAGAACGCACTAAAAACCCCTGTGCCTAAATGACAAAAGTGTAGTCTCAAAATGTATAATACATTTACAAACATTTTAAATTTAGATTGAAGAAAACACATTTGTATGGACTCAGAACAAGTTTATTTGCAATTAGACATCTCATGCAATCATGCAGGACCACTAGGTATAGCTCTAACTTCCGAGTCTAAAGGACATTTGGGGACCAAAAAAAAATTAAAAAAAAATCCCTCAACATTCAAGATATTTTCATATTAGCAGCTCTGCACTTGAGCTGAAAGTAGTTTGCTGAAGAGATATCCCCCACAGATTTAAAAAAAACATACACACCTTTATAATATTTACAAAAAATATTTAATTAAAAATATTTTATAATTACAGTAGTCTATTAAAGCATATACTTTTCTCACACTTATAGAACATCTCTATATATACACAGTATGAAATGTCACTCAATTTATCTATACAATATGTAACATTCCTGCAGGGAGAAGAAAGTTCCCTGGGCCCCAATAAAACCATCTATTTTAAACAATAGATGTGGAAATATATCTACAATGCTCCGGTAGATTAGTAAAGCTTCAAAACGCAGCTGCTCGGTCCCTTACAGTTAAAAACACTCCTAAGTCTGGGTTAACGCCGGGTCTCTTCTCTCTGCGCGCCCCCGACCGCCTCCTGCCACCGACCAGGGCGCGCACGGGACGCGGCGGACAGAAAACAGTAACAACAGGGGAGAAAAGAACAGGATGGCTACGGACGTGCAAAACGGTGGCGGGCGGGCCGGGCTCCCTCGGCTGAAGCGCGGGGACGGGGGCGGCCG